GGTTAACTGTAATTTAGTTTGAATATATCCACTAACTATAATCATGTTGTAGAGAGATTAATTTGCAAAATGGCATGTTTCAAACCAATCTATTCTCAAACCAGACCCGGTTTAAGCAAAGACAAAACACAAAAGGGAAATTTGCTAAATTTACTCAGTTTGAATTAGTGTTTTGCGAAATAACATTTGCCTTATTTTTACCAACTTTTCCCTAAATTACCCTTTGATTAATTCTGAAAATTACAAATAAATAGTTTTTATAATTTTATAAAATTAAGAAAATACAAAAGAGTAATACACAAGATATATAGATTCATGTAAATTTTTTTTTTTTTAAACTATGACAGAAAATTATTTATTTTTGCTTCTACCATGGTCGAATCTACTAGTAGATTAGGTGTTCTACGAATTTGAATAAATCTACGAGTGGTAGAATGAAGTATTCTACTAATTGCTCAATTTCTACATATCGCAGATTGCACAATCTACCATTTGCTTCAGTACTCCCAGTCGCAGAATGCTATTTCTACCAATGTCTTTGTCATCTACACCAGGCATAATACATTTTCTACCCTTTCTATCTACCTCTTTCTCTATGTTCTACCAAATGGTAGAAAGTCTAAACTACCAAAAGTAGTTTAAATCCCCTAATCTAGGACAATTAAATATTTACTTTCTATAAAATGATTTTTTCGGATATTTGCTTCTAATTACGTTTTTTCTTTATTTATTTTTATAAATTGTTTTTAATTATTTTTTTGTGAAATGTTTTTTTCGGATATTTACTTCTAATTGGAAAAGCGGAGAGAGATAGAGATCTCTTTTGCGAAACAAAGTTTTTTTTTTTTAATGATTTGTATACTTATTTTTAAGAAAAAATTTATTGTAAATATTTTAAATAAATTGTAAAAACGAAAATCATTTTTATATATTAGTAAAAGATTAATTTTTCTTAATTTTGAAGGATAAAATTGGGATTTAAAAATATGAAAAGTTATTGAGACAAACAATCATAAGTAGAAGGTTAATTTACAAAACGCTAATTAAAACTGAGTCAATTTAGCAAATTTTCTAACAAAAAAACATGGAAGGTTGTCGTCAAATATTTAATTACTAGTATCTTTTACTTTACACACAAACCTGCAAATTACTGTTGACTAACTACTCCACACGCGCTAAATACGCGCGTGTATTAGAGAAGCTAACTAAAAGTCAACTAACTCAATAGCGCGTGCTTCGCACGTGCCTTACTTGTTGATAAGAATGTCACAAAGTGTTTTATCTCATCGAACAAAAGAAACAATAAAAGTTCTCTTGCGAGATCATTCGAGAGAAATTATTAAATCCGGTCGGCGACGAGACTTTAATTTCGCCGGCGACGAGACTTTAAATCCGGTACCGGAGTTTTACGATTCTGTTTCTATTTTTCCAATCTTTTTTTTTTATTTTCTCAACTAAAACCCTAGCTTTTGTTAGCTCAATTTTTGATTTTTTTCTACTTTTTATTCGTTTGTTTCTCTTGAATTTACAGGAAGAACATGGCTTTTCTTAGAGCAGCGATTATTACTGCCCTAATTTGCACTTTTGTCTCCTTCGCTTCTTCTGTTCCTTTCATTGTTCTTCATGGTAATCTGTAATCTGATTTTCCCCTTTTTTGATCGTTTT